AGCAAACAAGTCGCTCGTAACATGAGTTTATCCCTGTATTCCCATTCGTAGGGAAACACTTTTACATGTGTTTCGTGGGTCGAGTAACCATTTAAGTAACCAATCTGTTTGTTGAACGCTTCATAGGCAACCTATTTACACGTCGATATCAAAAGTTATCTCGATCCTTTTCTAGATGAACGATACTGAATTGCAGGTAATAAATTTCGGAATAAATTTCAAGTGAGTTTTACATTTCCATGATATTACACACGGCGCGATTGCACTTTACCTCGTTGAAAATCGCGCTGCACTTTGTATCTTGCAAAATCCTGTCATCGCGATTCATCCACTCTCGCATTTCGCCGGCAAATTAATCACAAATTTCAGTGGACGAATCGCAGCATCGTAAGTCACGTTTAAATATTTATATGATGTAAAAATAAAGAGAAAGAGAAATAAATTAAACAGAAAAATTTTTAAGAGATTCGCATTTAAATACAAAGCAGTATAATTATAAATTCTATTTTTAATCAAAATATACTTTACCACATATTTCTTTCCTGCGCTAATCGTCTCGAATAAACATAGAGATTATTTCCGCGTGTATGCAGCACCGAGACCTGAATTCACCGAAATTATACCGGCTTCAATCCTCGCTACCAAAGCGATAAATAACAGTAATGATTGTGTAAACATACATGGCGTGGATCTAGCAAACGCACGACGGGAATCCATGCGTTTCGAGTCCAAACGGAAGATTGATTTATACGATACGAAGTCGCGATATTTGTCAATATCAATTTTCCGCGGCAGTGCCACGATTTTTCACCACGTACCCGTTTCGTATAGCTACCTTTCTACAAATTTATAACCGAGCTATAAATATACAAATTCGCCCCCGAGAGCGTTCCTTGGGGAATATGCACTCGATTTTTAATATATAAAGTTGTGCATCAACGAATCTGAAGCCGAAACAGAAATCGCAAAGCGGTCGCTTTCTCTGATAAATTCGCTCCCTAAGGACCAGGTATCAACACGCGAGAAACTGTTTGACGCTGTCGACATTTGGCCCACGTCCGTCAACAGTTTCGACGACTTCCTCATCGTGTAGACTATGTAACTCGCGAGCGACGTGTAAATTGGTACCGCAGAACGCACGTCGACTGAAATATTATACGCGCTGACAAGTACATCTTTCGTTGCCAAAAAAATCTTTCGGGACTATTCGCGCGAGTGCATCTCGAAACGCCACCGTGATAAACTGTACTGACCGAGGTGTCATAACTTTGCTTGAAATAGGCGCGAATGAAATATTATTCGACTGAAAGTTTCTATGAACGATTTCATTATCGCTCTTTTAGTCACTTTTATTATCTATTATTAGTCCCTTCTCTCTCAATTTTGAGATGAAAGAATAGATTATTTCAAAGCAATCGAAATTGCGATATATAGCAGATGTAATGTAAAATCACAAAAAATATGGCGATTAAAGAGAAACAGTGTTCTTCTATTAGAAGAACTAATCTTTATGTAAATATATTCTATAAATGATAATGGATCTCCAATATATTTACTTGTACCATTTTGATTTTACACTTAATTTTAAGATATACATTTTGTATTTTTAATAATAATTAACTATGTAAAAATAAATATAAAATAACTTTAACTATATTCACAAGAGAGTAATAATATTACATTTAAATTTTTATATTATCAAAATAAAATATATCTTTAATCTTACGATTCTTTTTTTAATATTCTAATTATCATTCCTCTTATACATAAATTATCTGATATAATTTTTGCAAATCTATTATCATATATAGAAATTAAAATAATAGTTTCACTCACCGATACGCAGCGACGGTTGTTGTATACACAAAGTTGTCATCTGCAAAATACAAATATTTAAATTATAAAGTAATATTCAAAATATAATTACGAAGTAAAAAATAATTATGCTTAATTAAATTTTTTATTTGAAATATAATAAATAATTTGAAATAATTAAATTTAATACATAATTTTTTGTAATTCCCCAAAAAATATTTTTTTATAAGTAATCTAGATAACTATTCATCTAAAATCGAAATATTTTGTATATGCATATCTATATAAAATATTTTGTGTTTCCAACATATTTTAAAATAAAATATTTTATATACCTTATATTATATAATGATATAGAATTAAATTACTATTGCAGAGAAGCATTTAGTTTTATAAATAACAAATAATAAATTAATTAGTAATGTAATAAATAATAATAAATTACTTACCCTATGGTTGTTCCGCCGTTGCCTGATGCCCCCAGGCCTCCTCCTCCTCTCTGTTTCTTCTTTGTGGCACTCATTCACTAAAAAAAAAAAAAAAAACATAAGTATAATTAGACACGAGAATGTGATACGTGACACATATTTTATTATATTGCGAAGATGACGCAAAAATTATAATTGCTTGAAAATCGTGTGACTAAATTCATTCGTCACTTGCCACATTGACACTGTTTATAAATAATATATTCTCTTGTTTTAGTACGAATATTATCTTGTATTAAAAATTATAAATATATAATTATATAAATATGAATATATGAGTCATAATTAAAGATAAATATACAGAATATAAGATCTTCTGAAAGTATATTCGTTCGTTTTGCCACTTATTTGTCCGAGAAATATTATATATAAATTTCGAAATAAATTGCATGAAATAATGTATTTTAACAAATCACCGTTGTACAAATATTGAACTTTTACTACGCGGTCGATCAATATATTAAAATAAGAAAGAGAGAAAGAGAGAGATTAAGTTCTTTCTAATTAAATTTATTCTAACACTCGACTCCGAAATCGTTCTGTATTTGTGACATTCAACATTCAATGTATGACATCGAAATTAATTTTGCGCGAATCAAATTGATTAATTAAAATACTATAAATTGTCCAAATATATATATATATATATATATATTTCTTATATATTACTTCTATTTCAAAAGAATAAATTGCGCGAAATGCTTTTTTGATAAATAATCATTGTTTACGTAATCACATTTACAAATAAAATTAATGATTAATTGTAATTATGGCAAGAATGATTTTGCATCTAATCTCCTAGTACTTGTCATGATTGTATTTCGCGAGAGACTACGACACTACTCCGAAACGACACACACTGCTGTCCGATCATTGAAACTCGCAGTGCGTCAATGATAAGGTCACTGAGAATGTCAACAACCTCGTACAGGTATGCCGCAAAAGAAAATCCGTATTCGTATTTACACAAATATGTGTTACAAGTTTCAAGATACATTTTAACAATCATCTTAAAACAATGAGATTGTACATATTTATTAGCGACAGACGTAAATTATTATTAAACTATAAACGTATTTATTAATGTTTCGCATTGTCACGATTCGGAATCGATCTATCCTATATCATTAATTTATATAAGTTCAATTAATGTTTAATTAATGATTAAATAAAAAACCATGCATTGTTTTATAGTTTTGTTTTGGCTTTTATAATTTAAAATTATCTTTGAAATATTGTAAAAGGAATCTCTTTTGTACCATTTCATACCTACATATGTATGTTGAAATACAAGATAATAATCATCCTAAAATACGAGATTATATTTGTTAATTCATTATACGTATATAATATTATTAAATATACAATTAAATACAACCGTACTTATTAATACGTCGCAATGTTGCTTGAAATCGATCTGTCCTGCATTAGCTATGTTTTATTTATGCAAATTTAATTAATGGTTAAAGTAAGACGCGATATATTGTTTTAGTACTTGTCGCGATCGCGATTCAAGGGATAATGCGATGATATATGGAGCAACTCTCGCGGCACTACTTTCCTCTTCAAGTCTCACTACACAAATGAGACAACATGGTGATCCCGTATAAATAATAGAAGCTGTACGTTATATACATATACATATAAAGTATATATTTAAATATATATTATATAAAAATATATATATATATTTTAATTGATTTTGCTCTGTTAGATTTTCTAATATCTCGTTGTATTAATACGCTCATTTCTTGTAAAAAAATAAAATCTTTCAATAGTATTTAATAAATTCAAATATTTGTAAATTTAAATATGTTTGAAATCATTATTGAAATATTGTAAAAGAAATTCCTTTAGTTCCGTTTTGTACAAACACGTGTGCGTCTCTCGCACACTTGGCAGAGGAAGAGTGACACGAGCATCTCCGGGTTCGTAGGCTACTAAATCAACCCGAGTTATGCGCCGACTAATTGTGAACTACGCCCCTCCTCTTTGCTTCTCCCTTAGAGAAACCAAATATAACTAAACGGAGCGAAACTAAACGACCGAGCCGATTAACTTCTCAGCTTGCCTCGCGTACGCACACATACACGCGGACACGTAAGAAAGATACATCGAGCACCAGAAAGTGTGAAAAGGAAGCAACGGAGGCAATCTTTCTTTTTATCGCGTCTCTACTTCGTCGGTAGATAAATAATCGTTGATTAAGGAGCGGTTCGCCGCAGCCAGACAACTTTTATTTCGGCGGACAGAATACATACGTTTATTAATCATCTCATACGAATTATGTACTGCGATTTGTGCAAAATTACTATGTCTAAAGTTTCCTAAATGGCTATGTTTCGGAATAAAATTAAAGACAAGAAAAAAAAAGAATTAATTTTCTACCTATTTCAAAGGCAATTATTTCCATCAATTATCTCGTTTTATCGAATTACTCGGAATTATCAGATTATTATTAACAGAATATTAATAATAAAGCTTTACAACGAATCAGTATGTCTCCAATTATCGCTGTCTTAATTATTTGTCTCGAATCTGGAACAGTAACATATGTCGTTCGCTAAATCGTGCGAAGATGACTTAGCGAAACGCGAAAAGAAATTGTCCCCCAAATTAACGGCTTCGGGCGAGAATAAATAAGGATTATATCGTACGCCTAAACGATGTTGCAAGAGAATGTGATATGTTTTGTAGTCTGGGCGCAGAGTGACTTTGGGGACGAAACCAACGGGGGTCTCGCAAGGCTCGATTCGGGCCATGGCGCTCATACTCCCGGTGGTAGCAACCCTAGTACCCCGGGGGCGACACCCACGACACCCTCTGGAGGATACTCTACCGGTCAGCCGAGAAACCGTACAAACACCACTCACAGGCCGGATATCCGAAAAGGTACGTTTCGATTATACAAAAATAATACAATAGGTATAAAATTCTTTACGCTGAGTGCATAGCGTCAAACGAATTCCAATCTAATTATTGAAGCATAAATAATTTAATATCTGTTTCGCATCGCTTGATATTTATTATTAATTATCGATTCGATTAGTTGTTGAAAAATATAACAATAGTTTTTACATATATTTTTAGCGTATTTTTTTTTTAGAACGTGGATATGCGATATACATCTCGTATATCCAAAAGCATACATAATTCAGAATTCGACATTAGATTCTGTAACGAGAGAGACGTGTTTGCTCGAATCAAAATTTAGTTCACGAGAAAGGAGAGGGAAATTTTGCCAGACACACCATCCTCTCTCGCGTTTACACGGAGTTCTGAAACGAATGCGCGAAATGGTGGATGGCGGCGAATGGGAGAAGAGACGCGGAAAAGGTCGCTTTCGTTTGTTTGCACGTTTGTTCGGCACTTAGTCGGAACACTCTCACCCGCGCCCTAAATCCCCGCAAATTGAAATATCTCCCGGAGTCTTACATTCCCGGTTAACAACAAACCTTCGCGCCACGGATCTCACTTCGTTCGTTCTAATACCGGTAGAAACGTCAGTTTCTGCATGTGCTTCTCACTCGAGTCCGTCGTATTTTAGTGACACGACGCGCAAATAAGTTCATTTTAATTAGCGTGTCCGATGGATCGAATATATAATCAAAAATGACACTTTTCTTAGGAATATGAGATTATTCCAAATCCAATAACAATTAAATTACACTGGATTAATCAATATATTTTACAATCTTTTGCCTGTAAAGAAATATATTTCAAGATTCTATTTAGTGAGTAATATTTAATAATAATTCAAAGTATTGTTTTCTAACTATATATCACTTTTAAATACATATATATATCGAGGAAAATGATACTTTTTTAATATTGTGAAATCTTTAAATTTAAACTTAAATATAATACAACAATGTACAATTAAATTGTGAAATTTTTTTCCGCGGATTCACCCATTCATCAATCTTAATTTATGATTCTATATGCAAGATATTATTAGTGGTTTCGTCGAGGATATGATACCTTAACACTTTGCAGGTGTACGATCACCACCAGAAGTGAAACACGAGTTGGGTGCTGCTGGCGGTGTCGTTTCTCCTGGAGTGGTCGGAGTCAACGATACCGATGACAAGGACGGCAAGAAGAACAAACGACAAAGGCGACAGAGAACGCACTTTACGCAGCACCAGCTACAGAATTTGGAGATGACATTTATGAGGAACCGATATCCGGACATGTCGACCAGGGAGGAAATAGCTTGCTGTACGAATCTTACGGAAGCTCGCGTCAGGGTAAGATTTATTACGATTTATATAATGAAAGATTAAATTTTCTCGTTAAGGTTACAAATATTTTAATCACCCGAGATGACTTTTCGTGAAAGAAGATGATTCAAACAGCAACTAAACAGATTTATTCAAGAATTTGATCATTTAAGGTTTGGTTAATAAAATAATAAAAAAGAATATATAAATTTTATTAAAAGTTCATAGATTTTGAAAATAAGTGTCTGTTTGGTGAAACATTAGTAATTTTCTGAATTGTCTTCTCAGGAATTATCTCGGAGAGTATAACAGTTATATGAGAACGGTACCCAAAAATTTGAGCTGGTAACAAAGCAGTAACAGATGCACACAATGGTTGCATTGTCGAAATATCGATTACAAAGGCAACAATCTGCTGACTAGGGATGATATCTTTGCGTCTTGCATTAGTGAACTTTACAAAGGAATTTTACAAGACAAGAAGACGATGATAATAAAATTTTAAACATTATTAGCTAATCAATTAAAGCTTCTCTATTCGCCATGAATTTTTAACACACAATTTCTATTTAACTATTTCACATAAATTCATATTGAGAAAAATAATTAGGTTTGAGACAAACATAAATCTGTTTTACATAATAATGTTGCTAAAAAGAATCATTAGCCATAAAAAAATCTACTCTCCACTAACAAGTATTCCAATGCGTTCTTGCTAATTTAAAATTATCTTATATCACTATAATGATCCGAAACACGACAAGCGGTAATAATGTTTCTCTCCGAGAGAGTACTTTTGAAGTTGTTAAAGGAAGACGCTCTCTCTCTCTCTCTCTCTTTCTCTCTCCCGCGACGAAAAGTGGTGGCTCACGTCGAAGAAACTAAACCGTTAGAAAGTTCGCAAATCCGAAAGCGCTTTATAAATCCTCTCGCCGTCCCCGCGACTTGATTCGCGAACAAACGACGGATCGCGCGCGGTTTAAGTCCGAGAGACTTCGAAGCGGATCAAGCGAGCGGCCAGAACAGAGCTCCTTGAAATCCCGGCGGCCTGCTTGCCGCCGTTTTCGTCGAGACGTTTCGCCGGCATGGCCGAGAACGGCGAAGCGTGAACGAAGTGTGCGTGAACACACGGCACGGAAAGGGTGAGAGAAGACCTAACCGGGGGATGGACACGCGGGGGTTGAAACGGAAGGGGCAGATAGGAGGTCACACACAGGGAAAGAGGTGAGAGGTGCCGCGCGCAGGCCGCAGGGGAAGCTTTGCGCCAGTAAGCCCCGGTGGATTTATAGAACCACACACAGCGTGGTACGGTGTTCCCGCCACGGTGCTATACGCCATGTACCAAAACGCTGCAGATCCCGACCGTCGCGGTGTCCTGTCGACCGTCGCTGTTGCTCGTTCGCAAACTGTATCGCCCGTTATGGAGAAACATTCCTCATTCTAAACCTCTCGTTGCGCGCACCTTACCTCGAGGTTAGGTGCGAATAAGGACCTGTCCTGCTACGCGATCGCCGCAGCCTGGAATTTCATTCCGTCCTTGGTAATATGGAAGTCGTGTAATATAATAGAGCTCGAATACTTGTCGAGAGAATTCGCGCGCATTCAAATTTCATTGCGGAGGCTTTCGTTTGGTAACAAGGGTGGAATAAATCTTTCATGAATTTTTTGAGAAACATATAGGTGTGTTATCGTATTCTCCCTGTGCAAGCGGAATCGTCATGTTTTAGGAGATCTAAATCATTAACAATTTTATGACTTGGAAAATTAAAGACGCGCGTCGGTTCTCCGGCTTATTTTCACAGGCTAGCGTAACGTCATAGAGAAATCCCTGATATCGGATTAAAGGTCCGGAAACGTCATATCGGAGAAAAGAATGGACGAAGAGATACCGAAGAGTCGACGAGAGAAACAGGACGAGAGAGAGAGAGGAAGGGAGATCGAGCGCGCGCGAAGCTGGGTACAGTTATCTGCAAAGAGGCAGGCGTATGTTTCGGTCGGTGGCAGCAGAGCGCGGCTGTCCGAGATAATCCGCCGGTGATTAAGACCATAAATCCATCGGCGGATTAGTATGGTTGCACCGCACACCTCGTGGCGGCGCTCTGCCTGGTGCACGAGAGAGTTGCGCTCCGGCTTCCACCGGTAGTCTCTTTCTCTCGCTCTCTTTTCGCATCTCTGTCCAATTTCCGTTCTGTCTCTCTCTCTCTCTCTTTCTCTCGCGCAATCATCCACCTCTCCCGAACCCCTGATTGCGGCGCGACCGACACATATCCAGTGTCTGTACACCACGGCCTGGTCCAGGGGGTTGCGCGAATAGAGAGAGAGAGAGAGAGAGAGAGAGAGAGAGATAGAACGAGAGAGGGAGCAGGAGGAGGAAGAGGAATCGAGCTTACACGCTATGGGAATGGGAAATGGGACGCCGCGGAATATAGGTGGACACTAACCGGTATGAGAGTGAGGATTACCGAGTGTCATCCGTATTCGGCCGGGTTAGCGGCTGTCAGCGGCCAATGCTATCGCTATATATCAATTATTACCTTTGGCTGCGCCGCGCGCGGCTGCATTCCGCCGATGCACAAACTCCGCTGCATCGCGATGCAACGCGACGCATCGCATCGTATTTCGTTTGCGCGGCCCGATTTGCATCGCGACGTATATATATGTATATGTATGTATATATATATATATATATATATGCTTTGCACGGTTACAGCCTCTGTATGGGGCTGTTTTGGGCCTCGTAAGTTTTGGCGAACGCGAAAAATGCGCTGCACCGGCTAGCTTGAGCTTGTTTTAGAACGAAGCAATAATTAGCGGAAAAAAGAATAGTGACACGAGTATCGTAGCAATAATGTTTGTAAAATGATTGTGTAGTAAAGGTAGAGTATTCATATAATGAATGGCGTTATTAACGCTAGAACTGACATAATGAATAGATAATGACAATGCTCTTATAATGAACGATCTTATAATAAATGATTGACAGATAATCTCGTGCATATTAATAAATAGATTTTAGAATGCAATATCAAATTAAGTGTTGAATGCACAAATATATTACTTCTAAAATTTAGAACTGATTCATGGATGAGATAAACATGTTCTCATCGTCGTACACATATATATAATAAATTGATACGGTCAAATTCAATTCAACGTTAGGCATCATAAGTTTTTATCCCGCAAAAAGGCTCCCTTTCGCCCTAGCTTCGGCTTTAGAGCAGGTTCGAAGCGGAGATATGATCGGCTTTACGGTAATGTCCGAGAGCGGCCGTTTTCAAGTTAATATCACGTTGAACGAGATGAAAAATGGCAAAGAGCGCGCGTACTCTGCAGGCGAGTCAGGATTCGAATCGGTGGCAGTTAATCTTCCATCGGGTATTGTATTTTTGATACAGAGCGTTGCAATGCGTTCTGCGCAATTCCATCGCAAAGCGTGTTGGAATTCCCTTTCAAAGTTTGGTACTATCATTTTATAATATTGTAAAATATTAAATTACCTTCATATTAATTGTAGATAAATTTGAAAAAATAATTGCTATCAATATTTAATATGTGAAACATTGATTAGAAAAAAACAAATATATCAATTTTTCCTTGTAATATTACGTGTCTGATATCTCGATATTTATATCTCGCGATCGCGGTCAAAGTCAGAAATGTTATATAGATTTTCGGATAATCTCTTGAAATTGATTAATCATTCTTCCGGAATTGATTGTTTATCGCGATAAGAAATATTTTCGAGGTTTTAATGGTCAGTGATCTGAATTCGTGTCCACAACGAGAAAATGTGTACGTCGCAAAATCATTGTGATCATGGTTATTTATAAATGCATTAGCGATATACAAAGCACAACGAAACATAAATTCATTCAAGAATTAGAATAGATGCATCGATAAATAAATAGCATTGCGTTTTTTTTTATTTACTAATATAACAATGTAGGATAATAGTATAAAAAGTATTATATATAATATTCAGGAAAAGATGCAACAATATTTTCCAAGTTGGCATTTTCTATTCCGATATTTCCTGTGTGCAACAAGTCTTAATCGAATAAATAAAGAAAAGTAGAGAAAAATAAACTACATGATCTTGAAATACTAAAACTCTTTGCGATAAATTTACACGGACACTGCTCTCGCGTCGATATCGCGGAAGAATCGTTGCCTGACGGAATCCGATGCAGTAAAATGAATTTAAAAAAAAGGGAGGAACGGAAAAAAGTGTATTTAACTGGAAACGAATCGCGATGGCGAACGCGGGCAATGAGCCGTAACTATTTATAAATTACAAAGAAATGGAGAAGGCTCGCGAGAGAGAGAGAGAGAGAGAGAGAGCTAGCTAGCTAGCTAGCTAGCAGGACGGTGGCATTAAAAATCACGTGTTCCGCTTGAGCTCATAATCTCGTATAATCTTTTGCAAAGTTGTTAATACTCGCGGCTTACGGGTGTTAATTTAATATCCATACAGGTACGCCGACATTGAATATCCGAATCCCACCGGCTGCAGCTGTTACGGTCCACCAGCACAACGATAAAAAAAAATCCATAAAACTACTCTCGCCCAAGTGCGAAAGGGAGAAAGAGAAAGCCCAGCTTCCCATTCCGCGTCGTACGCGCCGGCTCGTATCGCCGTTTGTATCGTTCAGCGCCGCCCTTTTGCAACGATTTCCTCGGCCGTATCCTTCCGATTTGCATGAATACCATAAGATGCACGATAAAACACAAATAAGACACAGAGAGTTCAAATACGAAATCGGACGTGACTTTGTACATAACTTCTCAGATCTCAACTTTAAACTCTCAATCCTCGCATAGAGGATTTTTTTTCTCGCGTTTATACGAAACTCGTGCTTACTTTTCCCATATTTATTTCATACTTGTAGCGTCAATATTTAATCAGTCGAGTATAGAAATTATAGCGAATTCGGTTGGACGCACTAATGCACACCGAGTGCATATAAAGATATCGCACACAATTTTACAAATAATTAATGGTAAGAGCTATTATTATCATCATTCAT